TTCAACTCTTTAAAACTTTCATCTGTAGTTAAAACGTTAATTTTTCTCTTTTAGAGCCTTTTCAAATATATAAAAAATAAAATAATATAGGAAAACAAACAAACAAATGTCTGAAAATAAATTATTTTGTCTCTTCTACTCGTGAAATGAATTTCAGTTTTCTATTAGTATTCTGCATAAGAATTGTCTGATTACTAAAAAAAAGGAGTCGAAACAAATTATTATGATGTATTTTGCAGTTTGGTATTTCCTTTTGCAATTTATTATTAGAATGGAAAATCCTCTATGGGGAATTATTAAAAATACTTAACTCGCTATTTTTTGAAAAAAAGTGTGATTAACATATTTATGCATGTTTCTAAGCTTTATAAATCGTTAAAACAATTTTATGCATTGTATTTTTGGAGATAATTTATCATTCAGAATATTATGTGTAGCGAACTTTCACCTCCGTTGGTGTGAGGGTTTATAGAAGAAAGATCCATCATTAAATGAACCGACACTTTTATTTCGTAACCCCAAATACCAACAAATGAAGCCAATGAGGGTCAAGTCTGTTTTAATCTACTCACAAAGAAAAAAACCAGTCAATATCTAATAAATGCCGATACTGAACCGGATTCCTTGAACTCCATCATGAGGTTTTCAATTCGTATTTCGAGAATACTGGCGATACAAATGTAAATTCTTTTAAAATATAATAACGATACGTTCGGTTGCTATCTTCCCTTTCTTACGAACTCAAATCACTTGTTTTTAAATAGTAGTTATGTTTTCTCAAAAATCATGGTTCGTTTACAGAAAGAGTTTCTTCAATCAGTTCTCCAATAGGATTAGAATAAGGCTACGAACAAAACACATTACATATATATGACAAATATGTATTATAGGGAAAAAATACAATATGTGTGTGTGAATTATGACCGCAAAATGTAATACATTTTAAAATATTTATTTTCAAAGAACTGTTTTTTAAATCTATTACTGTAGTAGTTATAAAAATGTCCGTGTGTTCGTTTGGTTTTCCAATACTTTGCTTAAACGTACGGAAAGTTACGTTGAGAGACTTTAATTAAAAATTATTTATTTTCTCTTCTAATTTATTTTTCAAAGTTATTTTCTTTTTTAAAATAATCTCCTTAACTCTTCATATTATTCATAAGTTGAACAGTATGATGTGCAACTATCTGTTTAATTAAATACAATGTGTATTGCACTTGATTATTTAAATTTTCAAAGTGCTTCAAGCTATATCTCTTTTTATTAAGCCCTAAAGAGGTCAGCTTTTAACCCCAAAATGTTAAAAAAAAAAGATCTAATTTTTGTTGCATATAACTAACTATAATAATTAACATATTGCGAAATGGAAGAATTTTATTTTAACTTTCAATTTTAAAGTTTTTAGACTCGTTTTTTATTTTATTATTGTAGAACACAAATTGAAAAGAATAAAATCATCCTAAATGAAGTAATAACAAGTAATATAAATTTTTTTTAAAATCAGTTCCTACATAGATCAACAAAGAAAAATTTCATTCGCATATATATATATATATACACTGGTGTCCAAAAGTTAAGCATAAATCGTAAAATGCGAAAAACATGGAGTAAATATCGTAAAACTATTCCAAATTTCTTGCGGATATTAATTGGGTGAAGAAGAAACATTGGGTTTACTCAAAACTTTTCAGTCGACTACGTCCTGCGCGAAACACCGGCGCATGTCGGAACGCGGAGAAACTAATTCACGCAGCATAGGCAGTTCAGACAAGTTTCGTGCAACTGCTGTGCGAAGGAACGTTGTTAACCATCAAACAAGGTGAAGGATGGCACAAAGACGCCAATTGGACATGTTTACGAAAGGAAGAATCGTTTGGAATGCTGGAATCCTCACGATCACAAACCGAAGTGTCTCGAATTCTGAATGTGGACCAGTCTGTGATCTCAAGACTGTGGCAGAGGTTTCAAAGAACGGAAGATGTTACCGACAACCAGTATCAGGTCGACCAAGAGTCACAACCCCTCGCCAAGACCGATATCTGGTAATAAGTGCGCGACGTCAGAGGGGAGTACTGCCAGAGCACTGTGTTCGGCGCTCCAGTCGCCACAGGAATACGAATTTCGAGACAACTGTTTACAGGAGACTCAATCATGCTTGCCTGTATGCCAGAAGACCAGCAGTTTGCATTCCCCTCACGTCTGCGCATAAACGCGCTCGTTTGAACTGGAGTTTGAAATATCAACATTGGAGTGTGGGAGAGTGGGCCAATGTGATGTTCAGTGACGAGTTCCAGTTTAGTCTGAGTAGTGATTCTCGGTGGGTAACGATATGGAGAGAACGTGGAACACGTTTTGAACTTAAGAAACATAATGCGGTATATGAAATCAATTTCACAGTTGATTCTTGCCCAATGAATGTTAACACATTCTTATATTGTCTAGCTCAAGTGTTTTTATGTAAGCATTTCAACTCTTATATGAAATTTCATTTTTAATTAATTATATTCTTTATAGTGACTTTTGTGTTAATTTAATTTCTTATAACAAACTAATCACAAATTCTCAATAAAATAATTTTCTGATATTTTATTTTTTTAAATAAGAGTAAAATAAGATGTGTTACTATTTTCTTAAATTTGAGTAAAGAATATAACTATAATTCGTTGCTAGAAAATTTTTAATAGTGTATTATTAATGACAAAGCCAGAAATTAGCCTTTAGAGCAGTACAGATGCATTTAATATATATTGTTTTCTACTAAACGTTTTAGGTGATCAATTTCTTTAACATTACTTAATTGCTAAGTAAAAAGCATACGTTCTAATAATTCTTTAATTCAAAAGTGCTTTAAAAATTGGGTACTGGAGGCAAAAAATAAAAAAAATAAAAATAAAAAAAATAAAGTGTTCATTGAAAATTTCTATTACATTATGTACCTTAACTTTGAAGCTAAAAAGCAAATTTAGAAAGTAAAAAGAGTAATTGATTATTACAATTGGATTGAAAGAAAAACACAAATAATAAAGTTTCGTGTTCGCAGTTCTCTCCAAATTTTAGTGAAATGTCTTTTAGTAGATACATCATACTTATTTTGTAAAGATATTTTGTTTTTAGTTAAAAATATTTTATCAATGAACAATGTTTATTATTGTTGAAATAGATGATAGATAAAATAGATATAGATGAAATAGATACTGTCCTTATCTGAGTGTTTTTCAAAATCAGATAGAGAAAACTGCGTCAGTTTTAATGCAACTATTTTTACATAAATATTGTCAAAATCTGTTTCATTTTTCTTTTGAAAGAGTTGTAGCACAGAAAAATAAATTTTCAAAATTCGAAAATATATAAAACAAATATTTTATTTGAATAAAGAATCGGGTTTGGAACTCACTTTTTAAAAATATCTATACTCTGATATGTACTCAAAATATTCAAAATGCGTGTTCAAAACATGTTATTTCTATACATAGTGGAACCTCTTGTTTACTTAGAAAGTGAAAAAACACTGATAGATTTCCCAATATGCAATTTATTATATCATATAGAACCTGGTGTTTACATATTTACTATCATTTAGGATTATATAAGATTGAATCAAAATAGAGAAACTTTGCAATATACTTATTCATTTTTGTGTTAGAAGCAGATAAAACTGCTTATACATAATTGTTACTTTATTATTAATCCATTAATGGCATTTTATTAACATTAAAACTATTGGGTGAATATTAAAATACTTTCACCGTAAAACTTCAAACATGCCATTTCATTCACTAACTACTGCATGAGAAAATGGTAAGATTAATTCGGATCAAAATATTCGAAAAGTTAGAAGAAAATTCTTAATACAAAGTTTGAAATTTTTAAGACGTCAGAAGTGTTCATTATCTTGGTTTAACATGTATTTCTCTCAGGGTGTTAGATTTTTATTGCTTATGGTGAGAATGAAAACGACTTTGACAGGCTTATCTTTTCAGAAGTATGATAAATTACCAACCGACAAATATCAGTCTGTAAAGTTTCTAGACACAGTTAAGTTTAAACTATATTTTTACTATACTCGTAATGAATGTCACTTTCACAAAAATATCGCAAGAAGTATTGTTAAAGGATTACAACTTAGACCTGGTCTATTTTTTCTACTTTTAGCAAATGGATTGTAAATACCGAACAAAAAAAATTTACTTTGGTTATGGTCGAAAAGAAATTAAATATGTTCAAACAAATTTATTATCAATTCTTTGGACACACTAGCTGCAATTAATACGTGCATTTAAGTAAATAGTTTTATTTTATGTATAGGTTTAACCCTTCTCTGAAAGACTTTTCATTTTTTGAGAAATAAATCAGAGGGATACAATTCTGCTCTAGATTAAAAGAAAAATGTTTAAAAAATTCTAGTATAAATACATAATATAAAATAATTAAAAAAAAGCATGATGAAAATATCCATCATCATGCAAATTTACATGTTAATCTCGGTACAAAATAAATGAAAATATAACATTACTTTGTATCATTTTTATTCCGGATGATAATTAAAAAACAATTATTATTTTTATTCTAATTTAATATGGATCGTGGTAGTCTTCATCTGAAATTTCGTCATCAAGGCCATATTGTGATAACCAACCACCATGTAACTGGTCCAAGTAATTTTCAATATGTCCCTTTCTTCTAAATTTCTCTACAAAAACAAGTAATATCAAAACAATTAAGTCAGTTTCTACTTAGGTCAACAAAGAAAAATTTTATTTTAGTTACTTTTTATTAAATAGTTACAATTAAAATAAATATGTATATACATATGACAGATCACAATGTTAAGTGACAAAATAGAAAGCGATTTTCCTTGCAAATTCCCATTTTTATTTCAATTTTCCTTTCTATATATGGCGTTGGAATATATTTTTGTTCGCTACTATTTATTCATTAATTAAATTTATTATTCTGTAATAAAATAGTACAGCAAAAAATCGCATTCTTAGAAATCAGGCCCTCCCAGGTGGGATTCGATCCCACGCCTCTTGGATTAGAAGTCCAACGTGCTGTCCATTGCACTACAGGATACAATGAATGATTTTCCTTTCTATATTTGCTATAGGACTATCATTTTCGTTTGTTACTATTGATTCATTTTTTATTTTAATTAATGAATTAATTTTTTAAAAAGCTGTATTAACATCAAGTGTTATCCACTACAAGTTTAAGAAAATGAATTTGAGCTTGAATGGATGAATAGAAAGTATTTTACTAACGATTGAAAATATGGACATATATATATATATATATATATAGGAAGGGTGAACTAATGAGGGAACTGAATAGCATAAAATAAACATATAGTAAAAAAAAAAATTTCTTCTTACATTAGAAGTGAAAAAACTGCATAATGATGTAAATTTATGTCACATAATTTTGGAAATATTATGTAGAGTATTCGATATAATTGCACAGAAAATAACAAAAGCACGAAAAATCTAATTATCTCTTTTATTAGCCAAAAAATCTCAGATTAGTTTTAAGAAAATATTCAAGAAAGCGCAAAAACAACAAACTCTTTAACCACAACAAACAGCATAACGACAAGTTCAAACCCGCTGTGATAATTGTGACATTTGATTTGTTTTGACAGCTACGTTCCTCATTACGCAATAATCCTTAAAAAAGTTGCCTTCAACAACCAGTTTACAAAGCAACTTTGTTTTGAGCACAATTTATTTTTTTGTTCACTAAATGCTATGAGGAAATTTCCATCATACAAATAAGGGTTAAATTTATTAATGCAGTAGTTATTATAAACTTAACTGTATTTGTAATTTTTATCCGTGGTCAGTTTAGATGAAAATTATTTGTTGACAAATTTTATGTTTCCAGGTAATTTTTTGAAATGGCTCTATAAATAATATTGTTTTATATTTGAAATATATTTGAAATATATATTTATATTATATTTGAAATAATATTTATAATTTTTCCCCATTAGCTATTGCTTTACACACAAACGAAATAAGAATATCTTAGAGCAATTTAGGATTTCAGTTTTTAATATGAATACTTTGCACTTATGGTTATTAGAAAAATTGTTATTAATAACGCTATAAAGTTAAGTGATATGTTATTCTGTGAAAAGAATTAATATGTTTTTAAGTTTTTGGTAAAAAGATCATTTCGTTAAAAAATATTTGAATAACCGAACGTAAGGAGAGTTTCTCCTATCTGCCTATGATTTTGAGGGACAATTAAAGATATATTTGTGAGGAATAATTTTATTTTGTTAAAAAAAAGGTAGAAAAAGGTGATAAATTGAAAAATGTTTTAACTAGAAAACAAAGACGAGACGAATGCACAGGAATCGTGTTTACTACTTTTTTTCAGGTCCAGGAAAATATCTTTTTTAGCTTCAAAAATGTCTAAGTCTTATAAAAATTTTTTAAATGCAAAATTTGGCATTTTACGCCAGAATTTTATATTCTAATTGTGGATATCAGGGATATGTCAAAATCATTTTAGTTGTTTACAGAAGAGTTTGGACTTGAGTGTGTGTAAGTTAAAAATACTTTTTTAACTGCAAGTGACTTACACAATTTACTAAACTCTTAGAAAATAATTTTTCGGTCTGATTTTTGTGGAAATTCTGTAACTTCACAAATAGGTAGGAAAAAGTTAACTTTTAAATATTTCCTTAACGTAAATTAATGTATGTTTACCTATTTTTACAATTATTAAAACTAATTTGTCTTACAACGATTGATAAAATTGATATAAATTTTAGAGACTAAACGTTAAAAATTTTCCATAATATACAGCACAAAAAGTAATCAATCAGATGGGATAAGATCTTAATGTAAAAAATTTTGATCTATCTGTTTAGTTTAAGTGAATTTGATTTTGCTTTGCTAAATGGATTGATGTAAGTTATTTTAAAACAATTGTTTGGTACGTGAAGAAAATTAAAGCTATTTCCATGATCATATATTTATTTTTTTAAATAAATTTTTCGCTTTTATCATCGCATATATAGTTTGTTTCTTTCAAAGTTATTTCAAAAGTTATATTCGATATAATTATCCACTTCTATGAGATTAACTATAGTTCAGGAGATCGTGTCCAAAAATATATATTACTCTAAAATGCTTAGAATTAATCAAAGATCTTTCGTGCAGTAATTTATTACGCTTCTCTTAAAAGAGTTTTAATTATCTGAAGCTATTATAATTTTATGAGAATAGAAAATGTAAAAGATAAACTTAATTTTATTCCTATAATTTCGCTTTTGAAAATTTTCTAAATGTTTTCGCTTTATTTTTAACTCATTAGTAATCACTGATTCTAGGAACTCATGTTCTGAATTTGCTAAAGTTTTTCTGATTTCCTAACCATATATTTCTTTCTTTTTCTAGAGGAAGGATCTAGTATTCACCGTTTTCTCTGATGTGTTCTTCATATTTCATGTTTTTTTCTCTTTATTTCGAATCTTTTGCCTTGGTTTATGTTCCGTTTTCTCTTTTCGTTCCTTGCCACGCTGTTGCCACACGAGTTGAATGAAGCTCGCGAGGAGAAAGACGCAAAAAATACATCATGAAGACATTACGAAAAAGATAAATGATATTCACGGTAGCTATAATTTAGACAACTGTCTCGTATATCTTCTAGCATTGTTCCGTGGTGGCGTATTTTTCATATTGCCGTGGCATTTTGGGATTGTTTGCTCAAAATAGGTAGCTATAAATTTTTCTTTCTGACGGAGAAACATAGCTAGTTAAGAATTGCTAAATCCCATTAAAACTGCATCAAAACTATAAATATTTAAAAATAAATAATCAAAATCCATTACTAAAAAGTTTAGTTTGATTTGAAAATATTTAGTGAAATTTTTGAAACATGATATGTCATGATGGAATGTAAAATATGTATTTTATCATCTTTTTATTTTTTCCCAATCAATGACTTTGAATAAGTTTATATTTGATTAAATGTGCGTTGTATTACATGGATATTTTTGTATAATATTAGGGTGAATCAAAATTTTTCCTTAAGGATTACATAACCTACGAGAAAAATTTTTTCTCTTGTTTATACCTGAATTGAAAAATAAAATAAAATATTTTTTTTGTGTTAATTACTGACCGCAAGAGGAATGACGTAAAAGTATTTGAGCTTTTTTTTGCAAAAAGTCAGAGTAATTTTTCTTAAAGAAAAACAAGTATTTTTTAGTACTTTTTAACATTTATTGAGATGTTACGACACTTACTTAACAGTTAAAAGAAAAATATTAATTTAATTTAATATTTTTAGTATTAAATTTTTGAAAAACCCATTATCGAAATGACAGTGTGAAAAAACGAGGGGAAAAAAGCTGTAAATCGGACTAAGAAAGCTGGAATTGGTCTGACTCGACTGTGGGGGATAGAGAAAAGGGGCTATAACATGATGCAATGTACTTAGTACCATTAATTACTCAGTATTTATCAATGATCATCAATTTTGGTTATTTATATTTTAGAAAATTAATGTTATTTTTTTCAGTCCAAAACCATCTAATTAATTATTATTTTTTTGATATTTCGAACTCTTTCTATCAGTAATAAATTTTGAAATTATTTTTTTGATTATTTTTCTTCTTATCTCCATGCCACAAAACATCTTTTCTGTACAAGCAGGTTCCAATTAAAGCCTTAGGCCACCCTAAAATTTAAAAAAAAATCGATTTTCTTAAATATTTTAAATGGTTCCCTAAGACCCTAAAATGATGTTCCAAAAGATCATGGCCGGGAAAAATCTCTAAGTACTCGGTTTTCGAATTTTAATACAAGGCCGTCTGGTCAGGTGCGAGTTCCTTTTGTGAGCGTTAGAGGGACGGTACATTAGGGGACTAGAGCAGGTATACGGCAGATGTTATTGAAAAAATTCATTTAGACGAGTTTAACTTGTCGAACGGTCTGCTTCACTCGATTAGGTACAACCAAGCATTTGAAAAGGATGCTAATCGACAAACACTCGTTTTTCTCGATACTTCCGTGAACTTTCATTCCTTTTTACCTGTGTAATTATTGATTTTTTTTTACAATGAGTGACAAAGCGGTGTACAGTGAGAAGAAAGGAAGAAAAACCTTTTTCAACATCAAGAGACCATAAGTATCTCAAAGAAGACCATTGAATCGTTATGAGTTAGAAACACCAGATGACTTGAATACCGGTATTTATGTGCTAAATGACAGGTGTTAATCAATTTTGCACATAATGAAGGCAATGAACTTGGAAATCAGCCCAAACAACAACTACGAAATGAACCTGGATAGACAAACAGCGCATAAAGCTTGCAGAGAGATCGCAATCTAACCGGCTAAAAGAGGCAAGGATCGCTTCAAGATCAAGCAGAAAAGAAATAAAAGCGCAGGACGATAATCGAAGGCCAATTGTATGGCGCAGGAGTCGCAGATTAAGGGTATTGTAAAATTATTTATGGGTTTCTACTACTCTGAACTTCCAGCGCTTTTATCTCAAAACTACATTTTTTAAGTTGGACGGACTCATAACTCAGACAATTTTCAACCAATTAACTTAAAATTTTGAATATATCTTGAAAATTACATTGTCTATGAAATTATGTATGATTTTTTTTTGTATATGTTGCATAGTTCATCTGTGATTAGCAATTATCTGACTATTTTTAGGTAACTTTTTCATTTTCAACTTTAGAAGTGCATCATTTGGTAAAAATCAAAAAATCCCAAAAATTCTATGTACTTCTCTAGCAGTTATTATACATAATCGAAAAAAATTAAAGCTTTCATTTTGATTAAAAAATTACAGAAGCTGTTAGTCCGGCCGTGAACTGAAAAAAACCGGAGACGTCATCGCTGAGAAGCTGCCATTTTGAAATTAATCGCTTTAAAATATTATTGTAAACAATCACTGATATGTATGATAGAACTCCTTTTTTGTATTCACGATTTATTTTGCAATATTTCTTAAAAAAATTATCCCAAATCCTATTTTTATCGGACTTTAGAGTGGTCTAAGGCCTTAATAATATTTTTTTCTCTCCATCTAATAAGGAGTTTGC